TATATATATATATATATATATATATATATATATATATATATATATATATTATATATATTTATGCCTCCTCTTTTCCCAAAATGCCATGAAAAAGGAAAAAAGACAAATGTATATTGAAGTTGAATTTTATCGATCAAAAAAAGGTTTTGATCAATAAACAAAATTGTAGTTAATATAAGCATCAAAGGTTACCAACAAAATGGACAGTTGTTCTTTACACCTATAAAATATTTCTTACATACATGTATAATAATAACAGAACACAAACTCTATATTAACTACTGTTTGCCGAAAACAATTGTAAAACATGTATATACAGTTTTCTTCATACAAAACAAAATCCAGAATTTAACATGTAAATAAAAAGATCTTATAAAATTGGCAAAGGTGGGGTCAATTTACCACACTCTAAAGTGGTTCAGGGGAGGAGGGAGGGTAAATAAAAAAACTGGTTAAAATGATCCCAAAAAATCTTTGTTTTCCTCCAGGCTAAGTCTAGAACAAAAAGGACGCTATCTCTTAGCCAATCAGATCCAAGGAAAGTTGAGAGGCTACATACGGGTTACTGATTAAACAAAATATGAGGCTCACCAAGGGTGAGAAATGTAAATCATGGAAATTCGTTGTCATAAAATAATTTATTTACATAAATTGCATATATATATATATATATATATATATATATATATATATATATATATATATATATATATATATATATATATATATATATATATATTACCGGTAATTTCTTGATCATAAAAGTATTTCCATCATTCATGGAGGAAACTTCAAGTACAATATTATATACCATTTGTGATCAATTAAAAAATACGTACTTTTCAAACACAATAATTCCCTACCATGTCGCTAAGTCCAGTTGTTTTGACATCTTCTTGACTGATTTAAATTTGGCGCCTTGTAAAAACAGAATTATCTGCCCGTGGTGCATATCGTCACTTTTGTTTAAAAAAAATTGATAACTTTTTAAAGTTCTCTTAAATAGAAACAAAATAACTGAATCAAATTTTGTTGTACAATTATTTATTTAATCATGTTTGAAAACAAGAAATTTGACGTCAATTATTCTCTGCGGGAGTCACTTCCGGTTAAGTGGCATGGAGTCCAGGATGAGCTGCCAAGGTGGAAAAAAGGCCATGGACGGCCCGTACTTTCAGGCAGATTGGATTTTTTAACTTGAATAACAGTACAAACACTCCGGATACTGAATTAGTCGCGAAATTATTCTGAGCAAACCCAGATGTATTTGTTTAGGTGGGTCCCCTCAAAACTCGTTGCCATCCTGGGTTTTTTAAGTGAAGGGTAGGAAAATTTTTTCCGGATTTTTTTATATATATACGATAAAAACTTCAGACTCCTGTGGTCCATTATTTTGGTAGATTCGGGAAACCTATACGGATACCTTTCTTCTCTGTTGGAAGAAATGTGTTTAGGTTTCAAATTCTATCCGCATTAAAGCATTTTACAACCAAATTATGGAAGATCATGCACCGATGATTCAATGTTTACATGATTGATGTAAATGCTGAGAATGCTGGAGCGGATCTCATACAGGGAAACGATTTCCTTTCCGATATCTTGATAAAATACCCATGTCATACCCATTATTTCAGTTTTGTCTAAACCAGTAAATCAAAATTTGTTTTTGTTCACCCATATTTAATTATTTAGAAAATTACTTTGTCTATAAGTAATTGCCGATACGTACATGCATGTATTGGAAACATTACCTAGGATCAGATACATATACCTATATATATATATATATATATATATATATATATATATATATATATATATAGCGATATCTAGCTAGATGAGCGAAACGGGTTTCAAATTCTAAAAGGTCTACATTTAAATAAATACCAGTGCACTAGAGGATCCTACATAAAAATTCAGAATTAAGTATTTTAGAAAAAAAAAATAAATCAGTATTATATACATGTACAGTAGTCAAGTCGAAGCACGAAAATATAGACGTGTCAAAGCGTAAAACACGAGTATAAAAAAATCTGCGACGACGCTCACCGTCTGCAACGTCATATCTTTATGACGTTATTTCTCTGTTCTAGAAAAAATGCCATAAGGACCTTTTGTCTTGGTGGCAATCAATTAAGATAATCAAAGAAAGATTATTCATAAGAAAAGACCAAAAAGCCCAGGGGTCTATAGGGGGGGGGGGGGGTCCTGTCCTCAAGCACCTGTGTCTTCGATGAATGTGACATTAATATCATCATACGCAAAGTCGTTTAATGTGCTCTGCAGTTCAATTATTGAAATATTGAAATTCTGTAAATTTAAAATAACAAATTAATAAATTAATAAGTATTTTAAGTACATGTGTATATAAACTACTAATGTATGTTTATATTAATTTTGGAACAGCAAAGAAATTTATATCCTTTGATTCAATGACGTTTTTTTAATGCTACGTTAAAAATGACTGTAATTTTAATATTATATATCATTTCATCTTGACCATAGAACCATAATTTTGTAATATCAATCTGAAGTGCAGATGCTGAAAAAATCTTTGAGATATATTTTTTTACTGTTCGTTACACTATAGTAAAACTAAAGAAACACATGTAGATATAATGAAACAAAAGCAGATCCCTGCTTTCTTAAATGCTGATGAAAATTACGAGACTCACGAGGGAATCGTCCATTCTAATAATAAACATTTACATGTAAAAAACAATATGCAAGCAATTGTGAAAATATCAGTTTAATACTTTTTTTCAGGTGTCATAGGTAAACATCACGAATCGACCGTTTGGTTATAACCGATTACTGTTCAGGTTGTTCAAAATAAAGTGTAAAATTTACAGATTAATGTGTAAAATTTACAGATTAATGTGTAAATTTAACACTTTAAAGTGTAAATTTTACAGATTAAAGTGTAAATTTTACAGATTAAAGTGTAAAATTTACACTTTAAAGTGTATAATTTACAGATTAATGTGTAAAATTTACACTTTAAAGTAAAAAAAATTACACTTTATAGTGTAAAATTTACAGATTAATGTGTAAAATTTACGTAAAATTTACACTTTAATCTGTAAAATTTAGAGTTTTAAGTGTAGAAATTAAAAAAAGTAAAGTGTGCAAATGGCACTACCGGTAATTTGTAAACGTAACAACTTTAATTTTTAAAAAAATAGGGATCAGAAAGAGTCAATGAGATCGGGAAAGCCAAAGAAAGAGTAAGGAATAATTGAGACAAGTAGAAAGCGAGGAAGCTATAGAATCATTTCATTTTCCGTAAATAAATGTAATCATTTATTTGCCGGGTTAATTTCACTTTCACACACCGAGGTCCAGCTTTTCTTATATGTGCGTTCTACCGATATAATATAATAATATATATAATTATATATAACATATATATATATATATCTATATATATATATATATATATATATATATATATATATATATATATATGGGCGAGGGTAAGAAAACGTGATAGAGGGCGAGGCTTGCCAAGCCCTCTTACGTTTTCGACCCGAGCCCAAATATCGCTTATATTTCAAGACAGTTATCATGTATTTTGTTTATCCTGCAACAAAATCTTACATTTCAACGTCCAAAACAAGCTATTTCCGACAGATTTAGGCACATCCCTGCAGTTGAAACTATGACGCCATGGCGTAAACATTGCAAAATACATGACGTCACAATGCTTTTAGAACGTCGGAATACATGCACGAGGCTTTATTAGGGCAGTGACCGGATAAAGCTTTGGTTTATTAGGTTACCTTTATTAGGTCAATGCAAGGGGTAGTTGCAGGATAAAATTCATTATATATAATCGATAGTGCTCATAATCTGATCGTGGCTTAACATTTCAAATTGGAAAATTAACAAATCATATTTTTGTATTAGAAATTTATCCAACAGTAAATGCTATTTAACAGCGTCTATATTTATATAATACTTGAGTACAGAAGTTCTGCTCTCTTTTTTCTCTCTTTCTTTATCTTGAAGTGTAGAATAAAATATAAAACGGATTAAACATGCTAAAATCTTGCAAATATGCAACAGAATATTAAAAGACAAACATTTACTTGTTTGAAAATCTTACATTTCTGCAAATTTTTAGTCAAGCCAATGATATTTCTGAAATTTCCGCTGCATAAGACATGATCGGCCACCAAGTACTGAACGTAGCGACTGGGTCTTTTTGACGTTAATCAAAGGGAGATAAACCGCGCTAGTTGAAGTTCACCTTCGCTGTAAAGTAACTTGGATCGACTCTGTTGTCTGCAACTTGCATTAAAAAAAACCTCCAAATGTTATGCAAGGCTCATTAATGTTGGTCAGATAATCAAATAGTGATCAAAGATTCGGGATATTGATTTTTTTGGTCTGCCAGTCCGTCTGTCTGTCTATTTGTTTGCTCTTCTGCAAAAACTTCACTAAATGTGTTTCATATATCACAGGGGTATTCCTTGTAACAAAACCTTCTTTAAGTTACGGAATTTGACCTTTTGACTTTGAATTTTGACCCCTTTTACACGAAAATACCAAGCTTTAATTTTACCCATAACTTTAAGAGTTGTTTAAAAAGAAAAAAAATGTTTAAAACAGACTTTAATATTAGCCATAACTTTTGAGCAGCTCGAACAAGGGCTTTCATATTCCTTGTATATTTTGTGACAAGATGATTTTTTGAGTACCAACAATCTTGAACTTGTGACTTTGTCATTTTAATTTTACATATATTTGAGAAAATTCAACTTTGTCATATATATATACACTGTAGTGTGTTTTGAGAATTTGAAAATGTGGAAAATTAACACAGACATTAGACAACGCCTGATTGAAATATTAGCTCCCATGACGCAAAGAACCAAAAAAAATGGAAATTGAAAGAAATTTTTTTTCTTCACTTTTCAGATGCTCCTTTTCTGAAAACCGCTTGCTTTCATCAAGTTCTTATCATATTAACTTTTCATTGACTCATGTACACGTACCTCCATATGTCCATCCAGAGAAGACGCTTCCATCTTGATCACACACTTTCTTATCCACCTTCTGGTCAAGACGTTTAGAAGCGTCCACCACCACAACATAGAAAGCTCTCCTGGTCAGGTAAATCTGGTGACAGGCGTAGTACGCACACTGACCCCCGAAGTCAAAGAATGTCAAGGTTTTAGCGTCTATATCTGTTGCAGAACTTTCTTCATTTTTATCCTGTTTGTTTATTTTTCTTCCTAGAAAAAAAAATCAGATTTTCTGGAGAAATTTACCTAAAATTTATTTTTTTTGGTTCACACATTTGCGAAAGCGAGTGGACAATAAATACCATTTTTCTGTCCGTCACAAAAAACTTTGATCATATCTTATGAAAAAGAAGCGATACGACGTTCATATAAATAATTTTGTGTTTTACTTATTATTTGGCTTTTCTAAATGCACTATAATTTTTTATCCCGTGAGCTTGGATTTTGACCTATTTTTTTCTATCAAGTTAACATTACAATAAATTTGCAAGAACTTTTAGAATTAGAAGATTAGTTTTTCATACTGTGTATGTACATGAATTGTGTATTACCTGTGACAAGACCTTTCTAAATCATAAATGACTTTTTCCTCATGTCCTTGACCTTGAAATTTGACCCACTTTTTGAAAAACTAATAATCTTGATCATACCTTCTCGCGGAGAAGATTTGAGACTTTCAAAATCATATTACCTGTGACAAGACCATCACAAATATACTATGATTTTTTATCCCCGACCCTGTCATTTAAGTTTCACCTACTTTTCAAAAATGTTATTTTTTCCTTCTCACTTATGGTAGAGAAGAGATATAGCTTTCACTTTTAGCAGGTACATTATCTGTGACGAAATTTTTCCGAAAATGATATAAAGTTGGACCCCTTGACTTTACCTTTATATTTGACAGAATTTGTGATAAAAAAAATAATCTTCGGTAATAAATTTTGAATGACATATGGTATGGCGTTCATATTTGACTCAATATTCTATAAATAATGATATATCAACCACAAAGAGGGCGAAAGTGGGGAAAAAATTATTATTTTATATTCTTTTATCAATTTACTCCTTAAATCACTGACAAATTTGTGTGTTTGTTGAAATTGCTGACACTGGATGAAAAATACAGTTTCCGCATGGCTGAAACTCTACTGAAACTCTGCGGAAACTTAGGGTTACTAATAGTTTCTGCAAAGTTTCAGTGCGGAAACTTCAAGTTTCATCAAGTTTCCGCAGTGCGGAAACCAAAGGTGTCCACGAATCCAAATAGTTTCCGCAACTGAAACTTGAGGTATACGCAAGGTTTCAGCATGCGTATACTGTTGAAATACATATGGTGTACCATAGGTTTCCGCAACTGAAACATGCTGAAACTTGAGGTATACGCAAGGTTTCAGTATGCGTATACGGTTGAAATACATATGGTTTACCAATGGTTTCCGCAACAGAAACTTGCTGAAACTTGAGGTATACGCAAGGTTTCAGTATGCGTTTACAATATTGATATACATAGGGTATACTATAGGTTTCCGCAATGGAAACTGTAGTATTGACTACACAATTTAGCACTCGTTTTCAACCAAAATTCATTTTCCCCCTGAATTCTCATATTGGAAAAAACAACAACACACTAACACTAGTTATCAAAGAATATTTAATGTTATTATCAACATTTACTTACATCTGGTTGAACATTTATTTTCTCTTGCATCATAAACATTTTTACAGCTAAGTCCGAGCCCTCAAGTCACGACAGGAGGACAGAGAAAATGTCTGCAATTAATGATGTCTCATACATCAGAGATATATTCTTGCGACAGGAACTTAGAACTGCATTACTGCAATCAATCAACTAAACCTGAATTAGGTTTATGCAAGTCTAGTATTATCAAGGAAATGTAAAATTACTTGGTATAATAAATGCACAAGTTCACATCATAAGTAGCCAATAAGCACCAAGGTGGATTCCTTTGTTAAAAATTCAGTTTGTAGTCCATCATCAACCGACAGAAAAGTCCTTGAGTGGTTCTCATTTTTTGATGACCCACTTACACTTATCATGCTTATGCTAGTGGTGGCTGCATGTTTTTGGAACTGTGCAACACATCACTGTAGTCTGCATGTATGACCTGTTCCAGTTTCAGTCGACTTTAAAAATATCAATACTTGAGTACAGAGAGACTTATTTTCATCATTGGAGAAATGATATCATGTTCAAGTTGGATTGATCTGCTCATCAGTGACTTCAACCTATTGAAAATATATATAAATATAGTTTAACAAAATCCCAATCTAAATAAAACAACATGTTAGATCCTCTCACATACTCGCTACACAACATCTAACAACATCCCATAGAAGGTCACGTCAGATGTCAAATACGGAACAACTCTAGACTTATACTTCCAATATAAGAAAAACAATAATTTTGCAGTTGACTATTTGATTGGTTAATAGAATTTGACCTCTGACATGACACTCTACAGGATGTTGTTAGATTTAGGCAGTATCTAACATTTAATATTAATTGGATTGACAAAGTCCCTAATGCTGTTCTAGTACAAGTCTTTGTTTGATTAATTCACATTTTAAGCATTTTTTTTATCAGAATGATTTAAAATGAAATCTAAAAATTTATCATGTGTAAAATATCATTAGTTTATTAAGGTCAGAGGAGAAGTTCCTCAAAATCTGTTTTGTATATCTTCGTAATGTATGAAAAATATTCAAAATTCTAATAACATTCTTATTTCTAAACCAGTTTCTAAACGTTTTTAAAAAATCCAAACCCTTAAACATTTGAAACTGGAAAATTATTTGTCTTCCCCAAAGGATTATATAAGAAAAACTAACCCTGGTATCCTGCAGAAATGCCTGGTAAGGTACCTCAATTTTTGTGAGTAAACATGTTTGAGTAGCAATACTTCAATGACAAACTCCTAGAAAAATTTATCTATTATTAAGGAACGTCTCGTCTGTCCTTAAAGTTGCCTCTTTTAAACACTTGACTAGGGATAATGAAATAAACAAACTTGAATTTATTTAAATTTACCTGAATATGTATGTATAGATTTTTTCCTGATTTTCAGAATAAATTAAGGAATTTTCTTTCATTCTACTTGTTCATCAAAATATTTTTTTATTTGAATAACAACTAGAGGCCCATAGACCTAATAGGTATTATGTAACAACTTTCACTCCATTGAATTTGGTTCGTGTTTTAAACAAAAGCCATGAAATTCCAAATTTTGAAATACGCACCATTGTTTATCATAATTATACACTTAGCATGCTTACTTTGATTACTCAATACCCAAAGGTGGATCAGAGTAATAAAGATAAAATGCAATTCCATTTTAAAACCACCATTTGTGTACCCCACCCCACAGGAACCACTAACCCTGGGGCCACACATTTCAAAATTTTCTAAATGTTATCTTAAGTTTTATTTCATCATAAATGGTTGATTAATTCCAAAGAGCTATATTGACCAACCCTAGTACTAGAACCCCTGACCTTGGGGCCATAAATTTCATAATTATGGTAGATGACTGAGTGCTCATTACAATCATGGCAACAGTTTGATTGCTTGATGTCCAGGAGTACAAAATAAGGGGGGATCATAACATTTACAAATTTTGTTCCCCTTCACCCGTAGATGCTTTGCACCAAAATTGGTTGAAATTGGTTGAGCGGTTGCAAGGAAGAAGCTGAAAATGTTCAAATGTTAACACACGACAGACAAAAACAGAAAGTAATAGGTCACCTGAGTTTACCAAGGTGACCTAAAAATAGGCCTGTGTATAAATACTTATTTTAAACAAGAGGCCCATGGGCCACACCGCTCACCTGAGCACTAAGGGTAGGAAAAAAGTAGAAAATGACTTTTTATTGTAAAGTTTAAATCCAAAAGTAGTCCCATGACCAATCATGGATTTGCTATTTAATAGAAAATGATTTTTAAAGAATTTTCCTATATATATCTTTAAAAACTTTAGTCGGCCATTTTGGCCCCGCCCTACCCCCGGGGGTCATGATTTGAACAAACTTGAATCTACACTACCTGAGCATGCTTCCATATAAATATGATGAATTATAGCTTTGTCATTCTTGAGAAGAAGATGTTTAAAGAATTTTCTATATATTTCTATGTAATACTTTGGTCGGCCATTTTGGCCCCGCCCTATCCCCGAGGGTCATGATTTGAACAAACTTGAATCTACACTACCTGAGCATGCTCCCATATAAATATGATGAATTATGACTTTGTCATTCTTGAGAAGAAGATTTTTAAAGAATTTTCCTATATATTTCTATGTAAAACTTTGGTCGGCCATTTTGGCCCCGCCCTACCCCGGGGGGTCATGATTTGAACAAACTTGAATCTACACTACCTGAGCATTCTTCCATATAAATATGATGAATTATGGCTTTGTCATTCTTGAGAAGAAGATGTTTAAAGAATTTTCCTATATATTTCTATGTAAAACTTTGGTCGGCCATTTTGGCCCCGCCTTACTCCTGGGGGTCATGATTTGAACAAACTTGAATCTACACTACCTGAACATGCTTCCATATTAATATGATGAATTATGGCTTTGTCATTCTTGAGAAGAAGATGTTTAAAGAATTTTCTTTATATTTCTATGTAAAACTTTGGTCGGCCATTTTGGCCCCGCCCTACCCCTGGGGGGTCATGATTTGAACAAATTTGAATCTACACTACCTGAGCATGCTTCCATATAAATATGATGAATTATGGCTTTGTCATTCTTGAGAAGAAGATGTTTAAAGAATTTTCCTATATATTTCTACGTAAAACTTTGGTCGGCCATTTTGGCCCCACCCTACCCCCGGGGGTCATGATTTAAACAAATTTGAATTTAAACTACCTGAGGATGTTTCCCCATAAGTTTCATCTTTCCTGGCACAGTGGTTCTTGAGAAGAAGATTTTTAAAATATGCCACCAAATTTTCATTAATTCCCAATTATCTCCCCTTGAATGAGGGCGTGGCCCTTCATTTGAACAAACTTGAATGCCCTTCACCCAAGGATACTTTGTGGCAAGTTTGGTTGAAATTGGCCCAGCGGTTCTTGAGAAGAAGTCGAAAATGTGAAAAGTTTACAGACAGACGGACAGACAGACAGACAGACAGACAGACAGACAGACGGACAGACGGACGCCGGACAAAATGTGATCAGAAAAGCTCAC